AATAATGAACAACCATATACCAGAGACATTTTGAGGGGGTGGAGTGGGGAATGGGATCAAAAATGGAGGGGGGAGGGAAATGCACGGGATTATGGTGATGGCACATGGGTGACTTGGTGATGGGAAACCCACGGGCATTACAATTGAGATGGGAAAAAAATATATACAAAATGATGTAAAAATAAACTTTTGTAATAAAAAAAAAGTAAGTTGTAGTTATGATGGAATCATTGCCCAAAATACTTCAACATATTGCTCCTAAAAACAAAGATATTATTCAACATGATTACAATGCTATTGCTATATTCAAGAAATTCACACTGATGTATTATTTAATACAGTTTTCATATTCAATTTTCTCCAACCTCACCACAAATACTTTACTGATTCTCTCCACCCCCCCCCCCACTTCGGATCCAGAATCCTATCAAGATCCATCCCTTGCATTTGAATGACATGGCTCTTTACTTTGTCTTTGCTTTGAATAGTCTCTTATGACATTGCCATTTTTTTGAAGCATCCAGGAGGGTATCTTGAAGAATGTTACAATATCTAGAGTTGTCTATTTCCTAATGGTTGAGTCAGTTTAAATGTTTAGCAAAACATAGGTGATGTTGTATACCAATGTACCTCCTATTACATCAGTGGTCAAATGTCAGTTTGTCCCATTATTGGTAATGTTAAAATTCATCCTTTTGGGCCTTCCCTGGTGGTGCAGTGGGTTGGAGGACTGCCCTGTGAAGCTAAGCCAAGCTGTGGCTGCTTCAGTGTGAGTTTGATCCCCAGCCCCAGAGGTGATCGACATGGTACAGCAGACCTTGCCTGTCTTGCCCCCTGCTCCCCTCAGCAGTGTACTTCGTCAACCTGCCTGTTCTGCTCCTCACTCTGTCTCAGATGAAGCCTCTCACTGCCCCTGCCCTCTGGCTTGTACCCCAGTTCTGTGTGCACAAATAAATAAATCTAAAAAAAAAAATCCATCACTTGTATTAAGGAGGTTTCTATCAGATACTTCCATTGTAAGAACATATTTCCTGCTTTGTATTTAGTTCATCTCTGAGGTGATCTTTTCACATATTTCCCAATACTTTTAGACATACTGTAATTAGTTCTTTAATTATAAAGAAAAACTGTTTAAAATGCTGAGAACAGTTTCATGACAACAAAATATTAAATACATGAGATAATCATTCCATTGAAGAGAAAAAGAAGAAAGGACTACATAGACAGAAAGCGATGTGACCATAGGGGAACCTGCTCCATTTATCTGTATTTTGTGTCCTCTTACTCTCTTTGACATTAAAGTATACCTCAGCAAATCAGTTATAGTATCAATGAAAATTCTAACATTATGGCAAATTGATGGAAAAAGAGAGTAAGAGTAGTAATGCAAAAGATATTACTTTAGGGTTGTATTTGGCAATCTATGTCCAGTCTAGAAGGGAAGTAAGGTACTATTCTATTAGGAACAAGAGTTGATTGTCAACCATTTCTCCAGGGTCAAGCCTTCTAGATGCAAACACTGATATGTACTCTCCTCACCTGGAGGCTGCAGTGTGTTTTCTATGCTCTTATCACACCTCAGGTTGACCTGAAACAATGTTGTTATTTACACTGACATCTCATATATCAATGCCTCTCTCCTGTCCTTCTCAGGAACTTGGAAACTCTGTGACAGCACAACCTCTGCACCTGGATGTCACTAACACCCTGTAAAGTGGTAGGCATGGAGAATGCAGTTAGGAAATAGTTAAAGAATGGGTTAGTAAAAGATAGCTCTGTTGTCCTTTGCTTCCTGCTTTTACCTTGTAAGTAGATTTTGCATTCAAAGTATGGTATTCTGACTATGGAGTCATATTTGTGACCACAGTGGATGGAACAGCTCTCACAGCATTTGATTTCAATGCACAAAGTCTCATTATATAATGTAAAGTCCTTAGCCTTTGTTCAGACATTAAGAGCCCTAGTTCCGGTTGGTCTTGACCTACTTCTCCAAACTTATTTCCCAATATTTGCTCCATCCAAAATGGGTGTTTCAGTCACATAATTTCCATTCCATTTTATATTAAAATTCACCTCATTACAAATGACCTCCCTTCATTATTGTCTTCCCACTGCCAAGTCTCTGTTAGCTTACTTTGAAAGATTTACTCAAAGGCTAACAATTCCATACACACATTTCTGTCCCTGCCTGGAAATGTCTTTCATCTTTTTCTACATTCTCAAAGAACCTTGTTTGAACCTTAACTAAGTCGCTTGTCACTTTCTGTGTTATGACTAAACACCACAACTGTCCGCATCCACTGTTAGACTATAAAAATGTTTAAATGCAAGATACATGTCTGCCTGTCTCCAGGTAACTCCAACACCTAGAGACTAGGCTGTACCTCACAGGCAACTGATAAATGTTTTCCATACAAATGTTCCTTGAACAATCCTGGTCTCAGTTCACCTTTTGTTCATTCTACCTACATAGAAAAGAACAGCCATCTTTAATTTTCCATGTCATTATCACCTCCATAAAATGTTCCCTTAATATCCAGTCTCAGTTTTCGGAGGTGATGAATATGTTAGTACTATCTTCAGCAAGATAATGGTAATAAAAGTAGTTACAGAAGTCTAAACCCACCAAATTACATATATTAACCAGGTGGAGCTTTTTGTATACCTCTTACATCTCAATAAAGCTGTGGTCCAAGATCTGAGAATTGAAGAAAAATGTATAGACCTGGAGTATGGATTCCAATTTAATCCTGTGGTTTACCAGTTGTTAATATTGGACACGTTATTTCATACTTCTATGCCTTAATTTCCTACACTAGAAATAATATTAATATTTATTTCACATTTATTTCTGTAAGGATACAATTTTTAAAATTTCTATAAAGTACATAAAATAGTACTGTGCTTAAGAAAGATTATTTGTGATTCCAAATTCTGTCTGATGGCTAATAATCCTCATCTGGCAATGATTACTTATTAGTTGGTGACATATGTTCTATTTTTGCTAGAAACTTAAATTTAAATAAAATATTATTAATGGATTTCTAATGAGTATGTCTTGTTTTCTGAAATAAATTGCAACCCCCAAGAGCATGGGGTAACTGATTATTGAGCATATTCTATAAGCCAAGAAATTGGCTATGTGCTTCCTATAAATATTTTATTCAATACTCACAGTTAACAGTATATGCTAGCTATTATTTTCATATTATAGATAAAGCAAAAAAATGAAGTTTAGAGTTACAGGTTCAAGTCCAGGCTAGTAAGTAGTAAACCTAGCAACAGTTCTTGAAAGCAAAAATATTTAATTTATGTGTTTCCCAGAGTGCTTTACATGTACTGATTAGCACAATTATTCCTTATGCTCACTTTTCTTTATAGTTATTAACTATGTGGCTGTGATATTTGAAGCACACATACATATTAATTTTAACATACCTTAATATAGATACCATATTTTTCACTATTAACATGTTTTGAACTTTTTAAATTATATCTTAGACTCCATGTTAACTTTCCTCCCTCACTAACAAGAAGAACATGGCATACATATTTTATTATAACTAGTGACTTTTTTCTTGCTATTTATGTATTTGTGTTAATCTCTACCAATTTATGCCTAGCTTTTAACTTAATCATTAAACTTATTTGGATTAATGCTTTTCCTATAGTGAACTTACTGGCACTGAGATAAATGCTAAAACATTTGCTCTATGCTTTTGGTAAGAAACAAAGAGGCTCAGGCTGTGAGAAAATACCCTAATATTGCTCAGCCAGTCCAGGGCAGAGAAGGGACGAGAGCTAGACATTTGTATTCCCACTATTGTGTCTTTAAGCCTCACAGCCACTTGCTTGCAAATAAATTCCAAACTGTTTTATATTCTAATGCCTGCCAGTCCATCTTCAGTGCTTTTAGGCCAGTATTTTCCCAAGTGGGAAAATTTGAAAAAGGAAGATGTGCAATTTCCACTACTGTCCCTTTGTCTTCACCAACTTCATGACACAATATCTATTCTCGGTATGTCTGTTACTCAGTGTAGTTTCCACATGGATGTCTGATCAAGGAATGCTTATCACCTTGCCTAGAGACAAGTATCAACAGTATTTTGAAGTATTATAGCAATTTAACAGAATGGTTTATCACTGTGAAATTTAGTAATGATGAGAGTTGGTCTTCCATTTTGGATTTCTAAATTTCATTTCTTAGTAGTTGCTTTATATCTCACTGGTCTCTAACAAAAATCAGGAGGAGACAGCTTTTCATTACAGGAGATTTGAGAGGCCCTTCTTTAAAGGACCCAGGATTAAGTGTCACCAATTCTTTTATTAAACATTCCCGACATTCCTGCTGAACATTTGACCTAAAGCTCTCATGTCTCTTATCACTTTTTGCTTAGACTGGTTATTATTGTTTTGATTTATTAATTATTCTGAAGACTGGTTATATATCCTTAGCAACTCACTATTGGCATAAAATTCACAAATTCACATTATACTAATGGGCGGTCAAGATGATTAACTTGTTCATTATTATCCACAGATTTTAAGGGGGTGGGGAAGAATTTTGAAAAAAAAAAAAAACACAAAAGGAACAACTTAAGTCAGATAGGGAAAGAATTGAGACAGCAGTTTAGACTATCCTCAATTCCAAGTCATGCTCATGAATATTTAGACACAGTGAGAAATTTGAACACATATAGAAACCCAATTTCTGCTTCATGCTAATAAATTGTCAAAAGTTAAGTTTTAAAATAAAATTTGTATCTCAAGAAATTGATTAGTACCACTGCCATTTCCATACATGTTAGACAGATACCACATTTACGTCAGTCTCATAATGTAGTTGCCAGAAGTGCTCAATCTAAGCATTCATACCAACTCCAATGCATCCAGAGTCAAATCAAGTCCTTTATCACTGCACTTGATAATACTCCTAATTATCAATGAAGGAAAATAGAGTAGGCCATTTCCTTGAGAAGTCAACTCTAGAAACTACTTACCAAAATATTCATCAGTAGGTGGATTTTCCATGTCATACAACATCTTTTTGGTCAGATGTTCAAGTTCATCTTCAGGGCGGAAAGAGGGGGTGACAGCTGGAGGCCCCATTGATCCTGTTTGTCCACCCTGAAAGGTAGAAAACATAGCCCTGTAAGTACAATCTAGGTATCAACAAAGATAATCAAATAGTGTTTACATTGTAGAGGAAAAAGAACAATACTTGTCTGATAGGAGACAATGATTTTAAAATCAGTTTTATTAGTTATTCTGTGTCTGACCTTGAACACACTAGTTTATTCACTTGCCTTATGATGAGACATCTAGCAGGTTTGGAAATCCATATTTATAACAGTGGGACTCCATTTCACTTAACAATTGCTAAGCAATCATGTATAAGATGTATATTTATCAAAAAGATGAATAAATTAAGTTTTCCTCCTTCTGGAGTTTATAGTCAAGTGGGGGATGTAGGCACATTAATAATTAAAGGTAAAACAATGGCAGAAAGGGTGCAATCAGGGTATAAAAGTAGACTGAGAGAAAGAATTCTAGGGGAGAGGCAGACTGGGATTATTCACCCAAAGGGGCAGAAACATACCAGCTCTTAGTATGTGGCATAAGGAACTCCTACCTTTCTGGACTACATATACCATTTGAGATAAAAATGAAATACATCTGATTTGGTAGAAGGGGTGAGAAAGTGAATTGTATTTCAAAAGTTGAATGATTTTTTTCTTCAAGCACTGTATACAGCTAGATGTGGAATGGGGAAGGTTAGTCTGTATCATGACATTGGACCAGGGCTTAAATAGGTGGATAAACCATAATTATACCACCACAGGGGGTGAACTGTTAGGTAGAAGAGTACTTGAGGTGATCAACCAAAACTCCAAAGTATGTAAAGGAAGAAAGAACAGATGACTGTTTTTTTGTTTCTTTTTTTTTTTTTTTTGCACTGGATTGTTGTAAATTATATATTTTTTCTGTTTTTCAAGCATCATGACTTTCTCACAATCCAACCCAATATTTTCTGTTGCCTATATTATAACTTTGATCACTGCCAATATCACGCTCAAACATTTTCAGTCATTATCAAACTGTAAGTCTGTTATAAAAGGTTTAGAAATGATGCCAGTATCCACTATGGCTAGTGGACTGAAATGAGAATGGATATTCTCATTCTTGATGTTCATGTAGTCTTAAATTCACTGACCAAAAGTTTATTTCTTCTATGAATAGTTAACAAGAATCAGTGTAATAAACTGCATGTTCATTCAGTGGTTATTTTCACTAAACTAAAGAACTCCATGAAATCCAATAAAGTAAAAATGTTTTATCTCTACATTTATTTCAGTAACTTCAAGATGGGTGTTAATTTTTTTATATGAAATACCTTGTAAATAGATGTGGCATGGTTGGTTGGCACTTTCACCAAACTTATCTTCCATTTATAGATTTTAGAAAAGGCATAGAATGTTATTGTAAGACATATAGAAAACTGAAAAGGGAAGGAATCTGCTTTGTTGGTCACTAATATTACCTCTGGGATTTTATTTCCTTGCTACAAAGTTTGGATTTGAGATCAGAAAGCAGTCAACAAACTATGGCTTGTGACAGATGAGAGAGACGTAAATAGAGCAGAATCCTGGAATCTGAAGAATCATTATCTAAATATATTCATTGCCCAGTCAAGAAATTTGTTCAAAAAAGATCATGGAGGGGCTAGTTATGATAAATTTAAGACAAGATACAACCTTAGATATCTTATTCAATAAACATTAAATGTTAAGTTTAGAGTCTCTCTAAACTACAAACACAGGCCCTAGAGGGTTGGAGTGAGGTATAAAAGGGCTATTGAATCATTCACTAATCATTGATGATTAGTTTATATGCTCATTTTATAGTATCAGTTTTATATACCTTCTGCAAGCATCAGAGAGGGTCACATAGATGTATTAGACAAATATTTGCCTTTGAGAAGATTGGAGTATAATGAGTGTAGAAGTGATTAAGGATACAAAACACAATGGAATCTATGCTATCATTATGAAATTTACTATTTGTTGATATTAATACTTCTAGAAAATTATACAGAAATACTCATAAAATGAATATAAAATTAAATAACCAATGCTGATCATAGGGTATATATTTGACAGATGGAACAAAAAGTAATGACTTATCTATCCATCCATTGATAAGGGACCACCTAAATATGCAGTAGTAGAATCATGCAACATGCAATGGACAGACTTTAAAAGTATACACAATAAATCTACATATGAAAGTATGAAAAATGATCCAGACATATTATCAAATGAACAGATCTGGCTGTAGGATATTTTAAATTGTGGGTTCATTGTTGTCAGTTAAAAAAAAATTATCTGCAGATCTACATACAGAAAAGGGGAAAGCCTGAAAATTCCCCACTGTGAAAGGGGATTATTTCTCTGTTTGAAATCCTAGCAAGGCTTCCAAATTCTAAGTTTATATTTATTTCTATCACATAATTCCACTTCTATCTATAATCCTTGAAGTAAAACTTTTGAAAATGTAATAAATTCAAATGATAAAGACATTCTGAATACTACCAAACCCTGGCATTGGATTGGACTTCTATCCCAGGTCAAGCTGGAGACCGTGAGGAGAGCAACAGGCCCTAAGTGAGAAGCAGTCGTGTGTGTGTGTGTGGGTGTGTGGGTGTGTACAACTGCAAGTGGCTTGCTTTTTAGAGGCAGGAGAGGCCAGAGATAAGAAGAGTCAGTCAGTTATATACGCCAAACTGAGTGGCTTAGGGTATCTCTGTTGTAGAGAAACCTGCAGGCATTGTGTGAAACCATGGGAAGTTCTGAAAACTTATGAGTTAAACTCCCTATGAGCAGAGAATGATGTCCATAAAAATGAACCAGCAATTTTCTTACAGCTCCAGGAGGTTCACAGACCATAAGGGACATATCTAAAGACACAGACACAATAGAAACGTAGTAGGGATTTTTAGCAAAGGAGTGAGCTAATCAGATACACAAAATAACCTAAGGGTGGAGAGTGGATAAGAGTTGTTGAGAATGTAGTAGGATGGAAGTTCAGAGCATAATATTTTTTGTCACCAAAAATCATGTGGCATTGGCTTTCAGGATGGAGAGAGATTTAACTATGACGCTTATGGGATCTTTAGGAACTCAGGATTTTTTAATTATTTCCGATTCCCTTCTAAAAGTGGGCCTTCAAATTTTACTTCACTAAGTTTGGGAGAATTAAAAAAGGTATGGCTTACATCTCATGTACAGCATAAGTACAAAGCAAAATAACAAAGGGCCTTTGGATCATCCAACCTGATTCTTGAAAGAGAAAATCCCAGTGCAGGTGACAATATTATAGATGAAGCTGGGAAAATGATTACATAACTCCCTTCCCAGGCCAGAAATTATGAAGAACTTGAGTCCAAAAGGTGGGGTGGTCTTCTGACTCCAATTTCCATGCTCCATTTGACAAATTTTGTATAAAAGAAGTACTTGAGGCCCTCCCTGGTGGCACTACGGGTTAGGACACATCATTGCAACTAGCTGCAGCCTTCAGTGTGAGTTCGATCCCCAGTCCTGGAGGTGACCCGCATGGCACAGTAGACCTCTCCTGTCTCGCCTGCTGCTCCCCTAAGTAGCGTATTTCGTTGATTTGCCTGTTCTGCTCCCCACTCTGTCTCTGATGAATCATTTTACTTCCCCTGTTCCTCTGGCCTGTACCCCAGTACGGTGTGTATAAATAAATAAATCTTTAAAAAAAAAACTACTTGAAAGATTAGGGGAAAAATACGAATGGAACTGTTTTAATTTAATTTTTACAGATTAAATTTTTATTTGCATGCAACAACGGGGGTGTAGGCCAGAGGTACAGGGTGGATGGAGAGAGGATTCACCAGAGACAGAATGGGGAGCAGAACAGGCAGATTTAGTGAAATACACTGCTGAGGGGAGGATCAGGCGAGACAGGTCTGCTGTGCCATGTGAATTAGCTCCCTTGCAGGGAACTGAACTCATGCAGCAGTGGCAAAAGATGGCTTGATAGTATGGAGACTTACAAAAGATGGCTTGATAGTATCGACACTCTCTGTGTAACCAGGGAGTCCCTAACTGTTTTAAATTAAATCAACAATAATTAAAGAAAACCTGATAGTTCCTGCTTCTAGTTATAGTGTAACCCTCAAAGAGTTAGTACAACTTATTCTTTGGGCATATTATTTGCTCCTTTTTGAATATAAACTCAGGTAGCAAGGTCAGAGCTATCATCTCTAAATCTAAGTCAGCAATTCATAAACAAAAGTAGAGACTAACAACTGCTCACCAAATCTCTTCCTTAGCATACATCTAAGTTACATTTCCCATTCTCTCTGCAGCGAATAGTCAGAGCAGGAATAGTCAGTCATTTGCCCTAGGGAGAGCTAAGCTCTGATCAAGTTGAACCTGTCTCATTTGTTACAGAAGGGAGATGGAAAACAAATATTTCCAAAGGTTAATGGTTGAAAGCGATAGAAGAACAGTTTTTGGTCTTTACATAGTTTCCTTTTCCTAAAATGAAGAGTTTTATGAATTATACATACAATATGTATTTTTTCCCCTTATATACACAAGAAAGTCAGAAATGAGGAAATGTCCAAATATCTGTATCTGGTTCTTCTCTGTCAAGTACATTTTTCCAGCTAGGGACCACTTGACTATTATCCCTGGGAAGGTTTAATAGGAAAACTATAGGCAAGTATGAATCTAGACTCTGGTAAGTTAAGGTAAGACCGTGCAAAAATAAGGACTTTTTTTTTTTTTTTTGTGCACAAAACTCACACAAGGACAGACTTTTGGTAAGAATGTTCTTCCAGATTAAGAATAACACAAATAAATACATTCATCATATTCATATAAAACTTTCTGGTATTTGAAATGTTTTGTATGGTTTTTGTTAATACACATGTACAATAAGAACAGAACACCTATTTTTCTAATTTTATCTCTGCTTTGAACTTGTCCAGTAATTTTGAGCAACTCAAATCTATTCCCTGAGCCTCAGTATCTTTATGCAAAATTGAAGTTTCCAAAGATGCTGAGATTCTGTTCTATCACGTTTGTGTCTATAACATG